TTTATTGACCTCTACATGCCATCATATTTAGTTTCCGGTATCTAAATCTGACATCTATCATTAGAAGGAAAATCGATGTCATAAATGCCATTTCTTGGCCATAATTTGACTTTCGAACGATACCAAGATCCACGGGCAATAGAACAAAAGCCCTAGGAATTGCTTAACTTTCTTTTCAATTACGAGGAAAGGAAGCATATTATTAACTTCCAATATTCTGTCCCATACTCTTATTAAATATTCAGGCCTCCTTAATGATAAGTGCTTTGTATAATGATACTAACGGAGTATATCCTCGGAGTTTTTAGTCCTTAGAGGTTAGTAGAAATTTCGACTGCCTAATTAGGACGTGAAAGGTAGTATATACATGGTTAAAGGCAGTGTTTGAATTTCGTTTTCATTTGATACGAACTCATGACGGATAAATTTATTTTCGTTTGCATTTTCTCCGAATCCATGATGGATAAGTAGCCCATTCACAGTGCTATAACCCAGTGAAAGGCAACGAATTTACCTACGCAATGTTGAAGAACATCCCATAAAATAAACGTAGTGCATTGTAAGACGATACAATAGAACTATTTCTAAAAAAAGCCCCTACAGCTCAAGTAACTTGAATTGATTTTGAACGTGGTCGATACACGATTTCAAACATTAGTTAATGCAAAAATCATTTAATGAACTATAATTTGAGTACAATTGAAATGATGAAATCCATGTATTACTTATAATTGTAAATATGGATGTTGACATTAGTTTACATATTTCGATTTCATGCCAAGTAAAAGAATCCTTAACGTGAACAGCCTTGCATTACACAGGGCTTCCGTTTATCATCCCAACTAAATTAAGTTTTTTTTCATCACATACGACTGTTATCAATGACGGGAAAAGCCGGATTAAAAGTTGTATTTAACTGTATGCTGGTTTGAACCCGGCTGAGCGATAGAAGGAATTTGTTAAAAACTACACAGTTAACACAGGACTCTAAAAAACGTATAGCTCTTCAGAAGTTAAATAATCCTCTTGCCATTCGTCTAAAATTTCAAATCAATGTTCGGGTAATCAGTTCCACATGCTCCATCAATTCCCAAAGTCCTTGACAATAATTCCATGTTGTTGATGTTCAAACACCGAATTGCACTTAAACATCTCCCAAGAGCTTGAAGGGATTTAAAAGAGGTTAAGTTTTTACAACCACTACTACTAAATCCGTTTGTTGATTAAATTCAGATAAGTTTTAAATGCTTTTTTAATGAATTCGATTCGCATCAAATAAGCTCCTTGAAGCACCCCCCTCAACTTAACAGATAAGTCTACATCATAATTTACACCAATCTTGCATTTTTTATACAGTTTATAAACTGTTTAAGAACTAGTGTACCTCAAAGTTAAATTCTTCCTCACTAATTGGATTCATTCCCAGCAGAAGTCTAAAAAATGACTTCAGAATTTTCAACAAGTTACCCCCTGCCAGAGATATAGGTCGAGTTGAAGGGTGTGGATAAAGAAGTTAGTTGCTCGGATAAGATCAATAAACCAAGGCACCGTGTTCTAATTTCGATGACTCCTTCAAATGTTATTCGTGCAATACTAATTGACGAATGTGTTGAATTAAGCAGTTGAGCTGAAATTAAATTATTGAAAACATGTTGAACACAAATAATCTTTTTACAAATATTATAAATGAATGTGCTCCATGAAGAACATGTTACTAATGTTAAGACTATAGTGGTCATCGTGGTTAAGAAATATCATAACATTATCTTATATTTGTCACTGTTCCAAGTTTAACACTGTGTTACACAGTTTCATTAATAACTCTGCTCGTAAAATTCCCAACAGAACATAATATAGTTCTTGTCTACATTCTGGTCATCATATTGTATTTCAAATTAATGTTCCGGTTGTCAGTTTCACATGTTTCCGTCCTTGACCGTAAATTTATGTTGATAATAGTAGCAATTACTGCCTAGATCTTGGTTTTTATGACAAGATCGGTATTGTCCACCACCGCCCCTTTTGTAGAACTTAAAGCTGTAAAGGAAACTGAAAAAATCTTGAAATATGGCTTTGTTGATAGTCTGTCAATATATAACATCGTCGAAATCGACATACTATAATTACAACGATGTCAAATAATTGTATGCCAATACTTGATAAAAATATTCATTAAATCTAGAGGTCCCGGAGTGTTGTGCAGTTTAAAGTTTTGAGTTGATGTGCGATTATAAACAAATATTGCGTGTCCTCCCTATATTACTCTTGAAAGATCACCCTGTGGGTAATATTTCTTCTTTTTAATTTTTAATTAATTGAATAATAAAAGACACGCAAACGATTGTAAAGTTCCATGACCAAAGTAGACACGATGCGGTGTCAGGACCGGAATTGACTTTATAGGAAACTCCTGCAGCTATGGTTATATCTCTCATATATATTTCGTGTACATTTTCACGTATCAGTTAATACTACATTTATTTATAAAGATATATTTTTTTCTCTCGTTGCAGTCAAAGATCATGCGATATAAATGGGGCCAATTTTAAGAGAGAAAGGAACAACGATTCCTTTTTTACAAAGGATAACATAGATTCAGAATCTTGCTCAGCAGCTGGTTGGTTGCAATTTATCTTTCCCTGATTACCCTACATATTTACAGATGCTTGAACTCGAATGAGGAAAGACCGATTATTAAACACACTGTAGTTTGTTTACTTGTATGTTGACGAAATGGCTTTAGAAAGATTTTATTTTGAATGGAGCTCCACTAAAATAAACACTGGGCGTTATCTTTCAAAAATTTAAACTGTTTGAGCATAGCGAAGCCCCCCGAAAAATGTTCTTCTTATCCAGCTCAACTTCGCTCCAAATACATTTGTTAGATGTGTTTTAAGTAGATGTCTTCTTCCCTTTAGGCGTGTAGGACAATTAACCTAGATTAGGTTGCTTCTTTCTGTAATGTCTGTAGACAAATCTATAATTTTTATTTAATTCTGTTTGTGTGGTATCATTAGTATAATATATCCTTGGAATCAAACCACTTATTTTTTTTTATTAGAGAACGGTTCTGGATTTACACATCTCAACCCATCATCACAGTCGACATAAGCCAAAAGCTCATATCGACTATGTGGCCGACTACTTGCCAATCCTATCAACTGGATGGTCGCTAACTGTGACAAATCTGGTTATAACAACCCAACCATTGTTAGTATGGAGTGAGCAATTGATATATTTTTATTTTAGGTTTACTAAATTCAGATATATTGAGCCATTATCCCTTTACGCAATGATGGCACAAGGTATTTTATTTTACATCAATCCAGTATATAGCAATAAATTCTGTTCAAAGTAGTAAAAATCATCTAGAACAAGTTTGGTTTTGGTTTGTTTTTTTCTTGAGCGAAATTTAAGACACATTTCTTCAAATAGTCTATTAATTCTAATCAAAGTAGAACCACTTGACATTAAAGGAAAAAACACTCGATGACTTTTTCCCCACTAAAACTGTAAAAGACGAGAATCAAAATAGTAATTTAATTTAAAGCAGATCCTTCCTGCAATCGGCTCTTTTGCCAATAAAACTGAGAAATATGACCATGAAAGTTACTTCTTCTTAAGAACAGTTCCGAAATTGGCAAATGTAGAAATGTCTTTTTTTCATTGACCATTCACAAGTTTTATGCTGTCTTTTCTTAAAACAGGATACAATGTTTTTATTTCGACATTTCTCGACTATCGTCCTTTAAAGTATAGTTAGACAGACAAGTTTTTTGCATGAAACATAGTTTCCAAAAGTCCTTTTTAAATTAAAATATACAGAGGAAGATTTATATTTATCACAGAATATAACAATCAATTCCTAGTTCTATATATATATATATATATATATATAATTGTTTTAGAAGTACAGATAGCGGTTATGTATCCTAACAAACGCAGGAATGAATGGCAGTTGTTATCAAATTGGTCGAGTTCATTTAACACGAGTTTTCCTTTCTTGATTAGTTGTGGAAAGAGACTGACGAAATAGAAATAAAGAGCACGTACCATGCACATAGGCCGTCGTTCGATACTGGTTATATAAAAAATCGGGAAGAGGATATGTGGATAGTGTGTACTGATCGCAAAAATAGTTACTATTATTAACAGCGTTGAAGCTAAAAAGGTTGGTACCTAAATTATTTTCAAATTGTATTTCTCATGGAAGCGAATACTTCTATCGCCTGTTAAGTCATTTAAAAAAAATAATGATTTAATAAATGTTTTCTTATAAATTGGAATTCGAATTAAAACCTGTGGTTTATGAGAAAGAAATGTCGAAGTATTTGCTCTGGTCAGCCTTGTTACTTACTTACAAATCAGAAATGAATGGAGTTTTACGTCCTATAACAAATCTGAGAGTCATTAGATCGGCAACAACTGGTGGCTTCTGGGAGAGCATTCTAGTCAATCGTTATCTTGGGTGCTCCGACGACTAGATTATCGATTTGCTCACAGTTTCTTCTGCATTTTGTATTTACAAAAAATATATCTTACCATTGACCGGGGCAGTTGAAAGGAGACGGATCTCATACTATGAATCGCTCATCTTAGGGTTTCGGCAGTACTGAGTGTGTTCTACCTTTATCGGACATGCATAGTCTTGCAAATCTGATTTGATAACTTTATGGACGAGGGCTCAAAGCCAACAGCTCTTGGGTTTTAGCATGACGTCAATGAGCCATTACACGTGACGATGTTTCAGTATGCCCTCTTATTCATAATTTGGGGAAGATCTGACTAAATTTCGGAATTAAAATGTTTCAGATTCATAGGTATTCAGCTTCAGGTTGTAGAGTGATGTTAAGGCAATTTCAGTTATTCAGATTAGTATGTATTATGGCATCATTCAAACATCTGGATTTCAATGTGTATCAATTATATTTTTCAGATAATATATTGTACTACATGGCGTGAATACCTCCTAACTGTTGGGTTAACTTTTCAATACTGAAATGGATACAGATTTCATATATCCTAGACAATACGTCCAGTCACATCTTGCATTTCATATCATTTACTATGCACTTGTGCCTGCTATTTCCTTTTTCGGAAATCTGTTTACATTCATAATCGTGTGTAAAATATCTAAATACCGGAAGAGTGTACAGGATTCACTTGTCGGTGCCTTGGCTCTCAACGATGTTTTAACAGCAATAATTGTCATGCTACCTTCTTTAATTGCTGAAATATGGGGAAGATATTTTGGAAGTAAAATATTTTGTGAATTCAGTGCGGTGACAGTTGTTTGGTACATTTATACCACATTCGCTATCATAGTGTTAATTAGTGTTGAAAGATGGATTGCTATATCAAAGCCATTCCTTTATAAGCGTATGGCCATAACGCCTACATTCATGAAAGGTGTAGTAGGTTGCTTGGGATGTTTCTGTCTGCTGTTGGCTTCCATCCCACTTTTCATATACCCAGTAACGCTTAAATCGGGGTGGTACTGCAGTATGGTAACGTTTGAGACTACCAATATAACTTTCAATGGCACTACAACTTTTGAAGTTACAGAAATTCCGGTTAACGAAGTATTGTTCATCAAAATTGCCTTCCTGACCGTTGGCATTACATTGCTATTATCTTGTAATATCAGTATAGCCTATCAGCTTACCAGGAAGAAATCATTTGATCTCCGTTCTAATAGACTTGAGAGGAAATTCGCAAAACTAATGTGGGTTGTTGCTATATGTTTTCTGTTGACATGGTTACCTAATTTGGTGAGTATTTTGTATAGAGAGGTTATGCCAAGTAGCTTGTTAGGTTAGGTGATGCATGATTCACATGACCATATCAATTTCATATAGATTGGAATAAAAGTCTGCACGACGCGCTCTCTGGTATTATCACGACCCATGCCGATTGAACCTAAGCCAAGGCAGTTGCCAGTTTAACTAAGACTGAAAATAAACCAAAAAAAATATTATCTGGTAAGTGGAGGTTGGGTGTGAGGGCCTCAACAGAACGTTAATTTAGCACCATAAACTGCTCGAAAGTCATTTACTAACCTTTTTTCAGTTCGTGATTTATTTGGGGGTATAAAAAGCTATAGCAATAAGAATGATTGGATTTAGATATGACTTAAAAGTAGCAGTGTGTGTCAATTTACAGTTTTCATTTGATATACTTCATATCATAGTAGTAATGATGATTTTAAAATTCGAAATCTTATCAAAAATGAGATTGAACATTGTAAATATATTATAAGAATTGAATACTCCATTAAGGAAAAAATTCTTTATTAAGGAACACATGGAGAAAGGATTCAGTCATAAACACTACCGCTTTAAATACTTTCTGAATTAGATTTATGGAGCTAGTTATATAAACGATTGTTATTGACACTATGATAAATATTTCACATGGTCAGATTCTACCTTATTGATTAAAGATCTATTAGGAAGTATAAATTGAAATGAAACGCGACACACAGAAATAAATAACACATCAGAATAAGATAAACTATCATGATTATCATGACTGTCCAAAATGGGATAATCCAGCAATTGCTATTCAATTATCAGATTATTTTCGGTTTAAAATTTAATAATTAATTAAACTAACTAGTTACGTTTTTAACTGTTTTCATGTGACACTTGTTACAATATTATGATACTGATTATCCAGTTATAAAATCCTTCGAGACTTTTTGATATTATTTACCAGTGAATTAATCGATGAGTTGACTTAGTGCTTGAAGGGTTGTTTATATTTTTATATTTATTTATTGCCCAATAAAGATCTTATCGCCAATGCTGACGGCTTTAGTAATTATACCAACATATTTGTATGTAATTGTGTATGAAACAAGGAGACCAAAACGATTATGAATTGTCATTTTGGATATTCATTCAATCTAGTTCCAAGGTCGCAGAAATTCAGAAATTGATTCACTTAAAGTCTGATGCAGCGAAATTATTTAGGCATATTATATTTAAAAAATCTATGAGAGACATATATTAAGGTGGAAATAGACGAGGTACGATGTCCTGTTCATTGTACAGCGTACGGTACGAAGAGACCAATTACGTTCGATTTGTGTCTTTGCTCTGCTTCGTCTATTTCCTACTATATCGGAAATCCCGTACCGTTCCTCGTCCATTCCGGCCTGTAATTTTAATTGTAGCCTTCATGTTCATAATAAAGTATATTTGTGGCAACAAGTAGTTAGTAAACGTTGTAAAGCTAATAAATCAGTATCACGTTAATATTGATAAAATTTATTGCCAGTCATCTTATTAGATTGGAAGGTGTAATAGCCTTGAATCATTTTCATTTGGCAGTAAATCAAGGCATTATTTCTCAGTTTATGGCAGGAAAATCTGAAGATTGGAGTTATCATGCGATATTCTGGTCTCAGATTATCATTGCTTGTCGAAAAATACGAGGGAAGCTGTCCAGTGAGGGATACATTAGAAAACTTAAATAGTCGCCGCTTTTATTTTCTACAGTATTGATAATGCAAAGCTAATCATCGTCTCTCATCATAGGCAAACCTTTTGAATATTATATGGTGCCACTGTTGTCTTTCTATAGCTAATGACGGTGTTTGCTGCTCGGGCACTGAATGCTCCTTTTACTTTTTACAAATGTATGAAGAATAATTAAACTAGGTCAAATTCAATCCATTCAATAGCTTATTCATTAATGCCCCCGAGGAAGGTCTTGGTTAAGGATTCGGTCGACAGATACTAGTATATCTGCCTTATATAATACATGCCTTTGTGGTGGACCTTTCAGTATGTGCCAATGGTCTATCACATTTTCTTCTATTTCAGTTTGCAAGATTTGCTTGTGCTCAGGGTTCAGGGAAATGTGAAATAGTAAAGTTTTATGCCATGAAAGTTGTAATGGCTGGATGTGCAGTTAATCCATTAGTCTATGGTGTGATGAAAAAAACCTATCGAAGAGGTTATATTTATCTCACAAGAATGACCCTCCACTACTCTACGTTTACCTTAATTCCTGCTCCGAAATGTAAGTGCAAAAATTTTTTTGTCTTTTATTAACATTTACTTGACACTTCGAATACTTTAAACGGAAGCGGCGTACAGTGATACAAACACCAGCAGTAAAGAGCTCTTCCGTATTAAAATGTGGTTTCTGGTTCTATCGATTTCATAAGAGATTGATCTTAAAGACCTAGATCATCGCTGACCTAGTGCATCGCTGACTTTCTCGTTTTATATAATATGAATTCGCTGTAAAATTGCTATAACGAAAAGGAAATATAAAGAAATTTTCATTTCTTCATTTCAGACGGAGAAGAAATTTTTGATCTACGAGAAGGAATTCGTGTCAATGCTGGAAGTTCTTCAGGTACGCGAGCGTCGACATCGGTGAGTGCTGCTTAAAACAACAGCCATAATGATGCTAAAACAACAACCATAATGATGCTCAAAAACAACAGTCATAATGATGCTTAAACAGCGATACTTATGCCAGCTCTATTGATACCTCAACAAGTCATGATGCTCAGACATAATGATGCTTAAACAACAGCTGTAATGATCCTTAAAACAGCCATAGTGATGCATAAAGCATTGACAATAATCAAACCAAAGAACGCAATTGGTGATAATGAACTTTCTTTATATACATAGCAATGTATAAAGAAAACATATTGATGGGAAGCACTTCCTTATATATAGGCGAGCTCCAACAACGTCATGAGAAATTCACCGTCAATGAAAGCAATGTACAAATTACAAACAAATAAATTTGGCTTCCTGTATTGCAGAGGTGGTTATTGCATATTATTTTATTAAGTATTTGGCGAATGATTTTGGACCATTTTCGTTCAGGGTGAAATCGACATACATACAAAGGGACGCAACCTAAGTCCACGCATGACTATTCCACCATAAGTCACACTTAATAGAGAATCCCAGGGAGCCCATGACACAATCTTTGTAGAATGTTGCAAATCGGCTAAAATAATGATTTCACACTAGGCGCATCCTTCATTATTTTATTATGTAAAATGTGTTCAATGGAGGCTCTAATTTCGTGTGTAATTTAAAAAAAAACTGTGTGAACTTCACTTTGTACTTGGTACTACTTCTAAAAGCAACTGAAGGTACATGGTAAGAGAATCTGAAAATAAAATGTGAAGCGTATTTCATGAATGTTTTGATTTCTAGCGGACACAAATAAACCGTATCTAAACAGTGAACAATTGCATCTGAATTTGTTGTTAAATCATAAGGTACATGCCGGTTTTCTTCAAGACTTCAAAGCGTGTAGTCGTTCGGATGGGACAATAAACTGAGGCCCTGTGTGCTACAGGCTGTGCACTTTAAAGATCCCTCGGTAGTTGGAAATCGAAAAAGAGCCAATACCGCTGTCCTGGCGAAATTTCCCTCATTGTACCTTGCATGGCGTTTCATTAGCCCACATGGTGCAGAAAAGTAGGACGTAAAACTTAACTTCATTTCATTTCAAAACGGACTTCGTCACCATAAATTTATAGAGTAAAGCGAGGTCTTGCCCACGTAAAACTAAATAGGATTGAAATGTTAAATTGGAAATACAACAATATCACGATGTCTTGAGAAATTTCAAACAAGTAGGTTCAATTTCCAGACCTGAAGCGCCTGTCTGGAATTTAACCTACACGTCATGTAAGCTTGGCAGAAACTTCGTACAGACGTTACTCTACACCTATCCTTGACCATGAACACAAAGTAAGGACCTAGATCTTAACTAGTTTTCGCCCTACTCATTTCCTTCGACGTGATATTTGGATGTGATATTGGAACTGGCCTAGACCTTGTTCCGATATCCCATCAAAATATCACATTGGAGGAACGGGGTAGGGCCAAATTTGTCGGGCTACCAATAATCCAGATCCACTTCTGTAGGATACAAGAATGAATTGTATAAGTACATACCCATAAATTTCAGCTTTAAATTAAAATGGACGAGTGGAATATAAAATATGAGGCCACCAATAACAAAAACGAATGCATACAGGAACTCAATGCGTGGATGTTCTATGATGGGGGCTATTAAAAGAAACCCTGCGATTAACACCAGAGCAATAGGAATTGCAATTGGAACCTGAAATACAGAGTTGAAGCAATTTGCTATTTTTTTTTCTTATCTTCTAATAAGCACCAAAATGTCAATGAAATGAAGGTATTGTTTTGTGATTGTATTGTAATAACAAACTTAAGAAGCAGAAAAAATCTCAGCGTACCTTATATGTTCTTGGTGTGTTTCTCTTTGTATACCTTAATATCAATAAACTAACAAATGTTAAAAAATAAAACATCCACACAGCAAAAGAAAATAGATCTATCAAACCACTTATATCACCAACAAAAACAAATATTAAAGTAACGAATATCTGGAATATAAAATGAATAATGCAATATCAAACCAAAAGTATTTTTTAAGTATTGCTAGTGGTAGTTTAAGGTCATTCATGGTAAATGCCTAATTCTTTACTGTCTGACTTCTTCCAGTACAATTCAGAATTAAAATCCGTCGTCTGATGCGCCTTAATTTACATACAAAAGGACAGGCGTGGATGGCGCTTGTTTAATTCAATTTTGTTTCCAGACTATTTTAATTATAGTTTGGACGAATAGAATCAGGCAAATTGGTCAGTGAATTTCCATTCTGATACATGCATGGGTAGCTGATGCTGAGCTGAACAAGGAAACGACGGAAAAGTAAGACTTATGATCAAATTCAAGTTCCTTGGTGGTGAACCCATAAAGATGATAATGTTTCAATTTGGTGATCACAGAATCAAACAAAATGTTTTTCCACACGCACGAAATTTCGTCATTTTATCATAATCAAGGGTAATGGCTTTTAAGACAAAATAAGAGATAACAGCCTAAAGAGTGCTTTTATTTTATCAAATCTCTCTCAAATTCTCAAAATTTAGCCAACTATTCCTAGCATAGTAAGTAAAGTTTGAAAGTAGAGTCTGTTGAAATATAAAGAAAAATTAAATCTTACCGTAAAGATCATGGAAGGCATCGGAGTATAGTTTTTGATATGAATATAGGATAATACTTCTGGAATAACCCCATCTCTCCCTGCAGCAAACACAACCCTGTAATTTTAATAGGGGATACAAAAAATAAGTCATACTTATCTGCACCTGAATGGGTCAAATAATTTTATCAAGAAAGTGGTATCGGCTTGCCTTTTCGATTGCAACTGTCGAGGGATCTTATACAGTTTTATGGCCTACCTTTCACATTAGGACATTGCAGACTTCCATCTAAGATGTCACCTGTCAGGTGCAATCCGGCTGTCGCGTGTCAATGATAATAAATAGGTAGAAAAATTTGAAGGGATTATTACCTTGTTCCCGAAAAGGCTAAGCCATTGACAGCTCCGATTGCAGATATCATGACAGATAAAGGAATTATTATCTGAGCTGGTCCTAGTACACGTTCAGCCCATGTCTACAAAATAGAATTTGGATACCGTAAGAAAGAAATACTCATGCACATTGCCTCATGGTATCGATTTGGCTGTCATTCAAAAAAAAAATAATGATAAATATGCTACCAGTACGAACAGTGTACAGAACTTTTTAAGCATAGTTCGGAAGATATAGCTGGATTCTCATATGGTAAAACTCGGGATGAAATTTGACAATTTGGTTGAATAATAAATACACCACAATTTACATTTTCCTCCATGTAACAAATGTACGATGATCAACAGCTATATGTGGGTCATCAATCCGTTGCTAAAGAAACACAATTTCCTCAGAAACTGTCTTACTTACTACAGCAACGGCAGGAGAATCTAGGAGCTCATCAATGGTCATAACAGTTAAATATGACATATTTGCTAAACTATAAACTATTATTACTATTACCATGCCTATCAAATTGGACCTTGGTAAGTTCCTGTAAAATGATCAAAAGTAATTAAAACATTCCACTTGACAAACACAATTGCAGAGTGGCACCAGGTGCTTTTAAGTATTAGCATGTCTCACAAGCGTCACTCGTTATAATGCATATAACAGTGGAATAAGCTTTCGGACAAGAACTCAATAGCTTGAAAATGTTCTGCCGTCATCAATAATTGGTGGTAATATATCAATTTTAGTTAGGAGGACTCTTCATACGTATTCTGGGTCAATCGGGGATGTTCCTGAATAGCGAGCACATCATTCCTCTATTGCTACTTATTGCTTATCAACCTTAGTTGTCCAATTTACCCCTATTATCGGTAATTCTGATTATGATAGAATTATCAAAACATACAATATTACTTTGCTGGGTCTTTTAATTCCTCTGTGACGTAATTCAGATTATTCCTGAAAAAAATGTAGTATTATATTTCCATATTAAACGGTGACAAATATAAAGATTGGGTGGATTTTATTTTTATGTTTTTCATTTCAACTTCACATATTCGGCTTAAAAGCTAAAATTAACTAAGCATTTACAGTTACTGGGTCGGATTTTTAACAATTTCAGCACATATCGAATGAAACTCAACATCGTAATATGATTACGATTTTATTGTGTCAAAAATATTTCACCAAAATCAGATGATAACTCTAGATTCTTTAGTACCAGCTAAATATATAATATGGTCAGATCCACTTAGATGATGGTATATCTCTTTTTATATGGGCGTGTACGAAATGACTTACCACCCCTCGTAAGCCCACATAGCATGATAGATGGAAAGAGCTATTGACGAAGGAGAGTTTGTAGTGCCTTCAAATCCAGATGATAAATTGTCTGTTTTTCCTGAAACAGAGATACAGATTATGCTTTATTAAGCCCAATTTCATGCTCACGTATGCAATTAAATTCAAATACGTTATTGCATTTATATCATTCATGAGAGCACTTTTAAGTATCCGGTAAGAAAAAAATAAAGGGAATTTTTGTTCAGATTTTTTCTCCGTAAATATTTTTTTTTGGAAAGGAACATGTGTATGTGAATATCACATTCGTGTCCAACGTCGAGAAGCAACAGGAATTAATTGGACAAGAGCTTCTTCCCTATTTCATGGTACATGTGAATATGATTATTGTGTTCACTGTACCTTCAGCTATTCTGACAAAACCTCCAATAATGATGATAATAAGTGCAGAAAGTTTGGCCACAGTAAATACTATCTGAACTCTAGTTGCTAACTTAGTGCTGAAACTGTTTATTATTCCAACAGATACTTTGAAAAAAGAAAAGAAAATAGAAAAGAAAATATTATGTCAATTAATTTAAAGAAAAAAATGTGAATTATAAATGATATTGGAGGATTTCCGATATGATGCATTTATTCTCGTCTCGAAAGCTATTCGAATTAACATTCAAAGATGGTTGCCCCAATAATAATTTGATTGGTTGTTGATCGTGGAATTCAGAGCATCTCATCGACGAAGGACTCTTTTCGAAAAATTTACTGACTCGACCAATTGAAAATTTAGTTGCTTTCAAATGTTTTTCGTCACAAGTTCACCTTAAATTATTGGAAATAAAGCTTAAAAATAGTTCATCATTTCGATCCGATAGAGTCATAGACGTCAAGGTTGCTTGATTTATTTATTTTTCCAGTTCTTATTTCATTGAGTAGTGGGACAAGATGTCGCATTCGTTAAGAACTGAAGATAGATTGCTCCATTAAGATTAGAGAGAAGAATTAAGTACTAGTAATACGGATTATAAACATAATGAATTGTCATACTCCAAGAGTGCAGAATAACCTGTGTTTTTGCATGGATATCATGTATCAACCTATGTACCTTATCATGTGCATCTAGCAAGAAGCCTGAAGACGCGAATAAACAGTGAAATAATGTTGGCCAGCAAACAGGTGCAAATAGAAAAGGCAAGGAGCAAAAAATAGAAAAACAAATTCGTGGTGTATTGCTTTCTCTACTGTAGATGTTTCCGCGCCATACTGCATATTCTGTTACGGTCATTCATTTACTCTTAACTTTAATCGATATGATTAAACCTAATTTTAAAAAAAACTTACGCATTCCGATAGCTGCTATTAATTTTTGAGGTAGTGCAGGTACACCACACATATCGAAAAGGGTAATTGCATAAGCTGCAAACGTTAAAACTATTATAGCCATTTGTGACGTTTTGCTTACGATGATAGCTGTCCATGCGAAAAGAAAAGCTGGAATAACTCCCATGGCCTCTTTGATATAAACATATTCACCACCAGATTGTGGTAGCAGTGTTCCCAGTTCAGCATAGCACAATCCACCTAATATAAATACATTAAAATATAAGAAATTATGTTCAGTGTGTAGTTTACTATCGAGGCTTTCGTGAATAATCACATTTAACCAAATAATCCAACGTAATTTAAATCATTGTCTGGTAACTGAGACATTTAAATTGAATTTTGCCTTGATTTGTAATTGTGCAATTTGTGCCATAAAATACAAACTTTACTTAAATACTTAGCAGGACAATATGTGTTATTGTATTTCGTGGAACTTCATGAGGTTAGTTCTCATCAGCTGTCTCATACCTATCGATTTATCGAAACAGTAGCCAATCGTGTTCAGACCCGTGCCCAGATAATCCCCAAAAAAAACTTTTTCGAGAGCTCCTTCTGTATATGGAAAACGCCCACTTCTGAACAGTTATATATCATTTGTAAGTAGGCTTAGTGAACGATAATTTGGACATCCCATAATATACATTATACACGATAAACAACCTACCCATCATTGCAATTAGTCCTGCTGCCACCCATACAATTAATCCTAATGCTACAGAACCAGTATGGGCCACGACACCTTTAGGTGACAGAAAAATACCAGAACCTAAACAGATAATGTGTAATAATTAGTTCAATCATGGAACAATATTCAAGGTCTGTAGGTCAGCGTCTTGAAGGCTGAGATGACGTGGTTCTGCGATACGAATCTCTCTTCAAAAGATGATTAAGAAAAATGAAATGAAATGGAGTTTTACCTCCTACTTTTCTGCACCATAGATCCTAGAATGACCTATTTACCCATAAAACTTAATGTCTCTGCTATCCTCGATGAGAGAGTCTAGCTAAGGTGCACAAGATCGAAGACAAGGTGCAGATTTTTTTCCATATCGAAGCTTGTTAACAGTGATGATCCGACCGGTAATACGATGGTATCTATTCTCGTTTGTTCTATTAAGTATAGTTTAGTCTATTACCTATAATAGTTCCAACAATAACAGAAATGCCACTTAATAGTCCAATATTTTTCTTCAATTTAACCTCTTCCACTTCAACCACTTCCTCAGACAAGTTGCCATTTTTACGCTTTTCTCTATTGGTAACTTTGAAAAAAATATATAAATACAGCCCAGAGCGAGTCTAGAGGGATATATCTAAATCCAGATCAAATACTAAATAACAAGGATTAACATAAGAAACTACTTCGAGACCATCTAATCCAATTTCTCAACGACTCATTTACCATCTTATGTCTACAAATTATGAGCGAACTCTTAAATGGAAACCGAACAGTTTGGGCGCTTGTAAAACTTTGACAATTTACGAATATCAGATGCTTCACGTTGTGTAGTTATTGAACTTGTACTCAGTATCGAAATAATGGAAAATATAGCACAAAATGTTCAAAAGAAAAGAGTTTATGACTACTGTTACCTTTAGATTCATCCATGTTTGTCGAGTTGCGCTTATATTTCCAATCGTGATCTCGACATACACATTATACCTTCAAAATATAAAGATATTTATTGGCTATTGACTTAAATTTGGATTTAAATTACTGAGTGTCATCTCAATGTTACAAGTGATTTATTCTTATAGATTTGCTGAAATAAATCAGCCAACACGTCTCATATACTAGCTTAGATACATTCACGCAGAGTTCATATATTGTTACTTTTTCACTGACCAAAGGTCAATTACAAACGGTTCAACCTCGCCAGAAGGTTCTGTGATATATATTACAGTCCTCGCAAGTTCGGTGTTAATCTTTTTATGTGAATTGAGATACGACTGTTAGTGTGTGAAATGGTTTAGCGTTGTTTATTAATTTTTTACATAAGCACTAATCATGTCTTAGTAGTTTTTACAGAGGACAATATATATTCAGTGTATACACTTCATATTTATATCAACGCATTATGATTGATCATCCACTGTTTGAGAACCATAAATAAAGACAATAAAACCCTCGCGAATCCTGGTCGAACCAGTTGACACAGATGTGCTCCAAACAAATAACATCATGTTAGTCGGAAAAGTCAACATCTAAAAGGCGTTTAGTCTTGTGGATGGTACAAGCTGTGCACGGTTTAAGAGCTAGGGAACTTAACACAGGACGTAAAAGTATAGGTCAGCGCTCATTTCTCTTGCACTCAAGAAATACTCGTCTTTTCTTTCAACTAGTTAAGAGTATATAGACGTAAAGCAATATTATTTCGATATATTTATGTCTGGTTTATCAGAAAGGTTGATGGCTTTCACATTAATGGACAATAAAATATGACTGTACAGTTTGCGATCATTTTCAATTTCTAAAAGTGTTGACCCTGGAAGTGATAATAAACCTTCGCCAAAGATCTGTACCATGCATAACTGTGCGAAATATGAATCAGAGTCACATTTTACGACTAGTTTACAACGTATATAAAACAGAATACTAAACACTATATATTCACCTCTCTTGATGCCAAGAGGTTAATTGATATGTTTGTATAATATGAAAAGGATAACTGTCGTATGTTATCACGAATATATTTAGCAATGAGAAAGTATTCCTTCGTGCAGTATTCCTTCGTACATTGTCAATTTCCCACATATTAATTCAATAATTTTTGAATGATTTCAAGGATGGCTTTTTAAAATTATATAATAATACGCCCAGATGAATTTCAAGCGCGTCTATATTTTCGTCTCCCAATGTCCGTTCATCAGGATTTTCTTTGTGAAACCCTTTTGATTCTTCACTTGTAACAATTCTTGACTAGTAACAACTCTAAGAGACACAATTTATGAGCAATTCGAAACAAAATTCGTGATATACCCAAGTAAACTAATTCACTGAACAATTACATAAAGTATTGGTATGAAAAAATACCCACACAATTCTTTCCAATTTTGCTGATATCTGGTTTAGCCGCTAATTGCTGACTGTTCTTTTGCCTGACAATCTATCTTTCTTCTGTCATAAGAACACGACAGGTTTAAAGATCATTTCTTACAAACCATACAAACCATTCAACTAAATCACGAAATGGTCATACGTGTTGCTGATCCTCATCTTGAAGTACGATGGTCACCAATTTCCGATAGTTCATTAGTATTTCTATAAGAAGACTATAAGTATGTTGATCAGGAAATACAACAAGAGATGTACATAAGAAATTCTAATTTTAGACTTTAAGGAGCTCATCCAGATTAATTTTCTGGAGTTATCGTTTTGACTTCCAAGCACCGTTTTTCTCTGAATCGGATTGAATGAAGACTGAGTGTCGATAATGCTCAATACTAAATTACATTTGAAGTGAACTCTGATGTTATTGCTTTTCGTGGTATATATTGGTTTTAAACAAGAAGAGATAAAAAAAACAGCAATTACTTGAAAATAATTTGAAAATATTTACATTAGCTATTGTTTTGTCCATTGGGCTGATGCAAATTTGTTTGGCGTTTATGTCAAATATTTACATTAGCTATTATTTTGTCCATTGGACTGATACAAATTCGTGTGGCGTCATTGCCTCTTCGCCAAAACAACAGGCGTAGTAATTTTAACCAATGACGTCATTGTATCAAATAGATGGTCTCCAATGTAAACAATCATATCGGTAGTCCCAAACGTTAAAACGTAAAGAAATAGGCCCTACTAATGCGAAATGATTCAATTTTCCAGCCAGCCTTTGTCCTGATATACAACCATAACCGCTATAGGGTAACAATTTATTGCTTAAATAATGTATGCCTTAGATATTCTTGAAGCTCGAAGGTGTATAGCTCTACAACAGATTTTATTAAGCTTTGTAGCCCGATTAGAGGGTTGATTGTTACTATCGTTGCATTTGTTGTGCTGACTTCAATTTCTGAACAATTTCGCACTAGTACTTCTAAAAACCAATTTTGATTTTGATGTAGATAAAAGTTATTTTCAAACAACAGAGATACATCTGAGGTACATCTTCATTGCTCTAAAAAAAAAGATGGGACGATATAGCAATGCGCAACTGTTAAATATTTGTCACGGGTAGAAAATATCCGCTATATTATCACAAAAAAATATCACTCATTGGTCGAGATTAAGGCATAAAATTTCATACCAAAAGGGATAGTTAAAACACTGTACACTTTAGTTTCTCTGACTTCGAATGACAATGAAATTACTAGCACATAATTTTTATATTCCTCAAAGAAACCATGGAAATTGGAGTAAGGTTAAATTGAAGTGATTTGAGTCAAAGAAGATAATTGTACAGATAGAAATGCATCTATGTTATCGAGTGGCAGTCATACGGCTTATGGTTAAGGTTGATGAAAAGAAACATTATGTCAATAGAAAACTTAACTTGTGTCAATAACTATTATGGAAAGCTGATTTAGAGATATTATAGTCTGTGCTATACTTTGGCCGTCTTTTCTTGACAACCTTAATGGGTGCCGAGTTATGATACGATATACTAGCAAGGTAAAATATGATTATTAAACACAATGTACAAATTTTTTTCTCAGTTCCTCCATATTTAACTTAAAATTCATTGCAGATCATGGTGGAAAAGACTTATATAGACAATTCTAGTTGTACATTACAGCTCAAAGTGTGCGTCGTAACTGACAATCTTTAAAGCATGCATCGTTAACTCACTACCGGATAAAATACTTGTTACAACTTCATTTCCATAACTCAAATAAGCTGACATGAAGATGCATCTGAATACGTTACAGTTTCGATTTGTATTAACGCAATTTTATCAAATTGCACCCAGGTGGACAACAAGATTTATTTGAGGAGACATTTTCTTAATTTAAATAATCGATCATGGATCGTAATTTCTAAAGCTGGTCAGTAATTTTTTCTCCTATTATCAATTTAATTACTTTACACGCATGAATCATACTGTTTTCATTAGCTCAATAAGTTGTACAACAGCTCGAATTTTTCAGTAGAAAACAGCACAACATCCATCAAATTCATTTACTCACAGTTACGTGTTCGACATTATCAATCAATTTGACTACATGCAGAAAGTTTGACTTTAAGAATTTGATATAAGAGCCAAGGTACCTTTTTTGTACAAATACTAAGTACATTAAATTTAGTTAAAGTTAAGGACAAAGGCGTAAGTTTTTGTTTTACTTGTTATAATTTTCCACATCATTTTTAGCGTTATTTATCACCTGAATATATATTTTTACATTTTCATCATAACTTTCATCTTACTTTATAAATCCCAAAACCCAGTTTGACTTATTTGCATAATTTGATCCCCACATTTTCACGCTAGCATATACAGACATATTTCAGACATAGAAACACTAATCGTCAACCAAACCAATATCACGTACCCTACAACGGCCCTGTCTTCCATCGACCTCTACCACCTACCAATCGCCGACCACCAACCAACCCATCCAGCTATATCGCAACCCATCGCCGACCTACCTACAACACAGCCTACCAATCAAGAGGTAACAATCGACCCGACCAACAACAGAAACGGCTACCAGCCCACCGACGCCAACCAGTCCCCACTCATAAGGAGGTAGAACCCTTTGTGAAGGTGTTCTTCCAAGTTTTATCCAGAATCCGCCAACCTTTCTTCCTTTTGTGCGTTTTTGGACCAGCAAACCACCCCTCAGTCTCCATCCAAGTCGAGACGTGTATCCAGACCTCCTCCCCCCCCCCCCCCCA